TCTCTGCATGCTTTGTAGCCAGAGGACCTGCATTGAATTTGAGGATTGTATTTGGGCAGCGTGGACTGTTCCCCCCGCTGTTTCTCCAGTGGCTGTAAAGCAGCAGCCCATTTGCAGCCGAGTCTGTGCTGTCAGAGCCGTGCTGCGCTCGCCCCTCCTGGGCTGGGGCTGGGGATTCCTGGCCGACACTCAGGGCTGGCAATCGCACAGGCTGCGCCTGCAAGAGCCAAGGAGCAAAAATTTAGAAAGCTACTTAACAAAGAGATCGCATATGTGCGGCTCAACCTGAGGAATGAACAATTGCTTTCCTGACTGGTCTGAAAGGGGACTGCTTTATTTCAGCATCAGAAAAGAGATTCTGGCTTTCTCCCCGAATACGGGCAGAGCAATCCTTCATTTGTGACGCTGTGTGGAGGCTTGGATCAGCCTCTGAGTAAGCTCAGCTCCTTCAGCTTCTTGAGCACGTCCCTGATCATTGTAGTTTTCTCTAAATGCTCTCCATGAGTGTGTGATTGCTCTCACTGTTGGTGAGACTGAGCAGGGTAAGAGCAGAGCCCTTGCTCTCATCCCAGCACTGTCAGTCAAGATGATCCAGGGAGGGTGGTCTCATGTTGCAAGCGAGGTGTTGTCACTCCTTTCTCCCACTTCAGCCATGGCCTTCAGTTTKGCTCTCCACCCAGTGCAAAGCAGAAAACTTTCCCTACCCAGATGTGCAGAGGGCACAAAACAAAATCCATCAAACTCAAGGGAAGGAAGTGAAATTCCCTTTTTTTCATTGCATTAAAACCTGTCACTTTCAGATGTGCTGCTGCTTCTCCCCTCCCAGGTTTCTCTGCTGCTCCTCAGGGCAGCTTCTCACCTAGAGCAGGACACAGCAGTGACAGTGGCCTCAGATCCCAGCCAGCTCAGCATGAGCTACGGGTCCCCTTTGTGTTGGGTACATCCTCCACCTCTGAACCCCTGACAGCAGAGAGCATCTGTTATAGGGGTAATGTCCTCTGATGGGGTCTTGTTTATGGCCAAAGCCCCAAGAGATACTGCTGTAACACGTCAGTGAGAAGGAGCCTGTGGTGACTGCCAAAAACGTAAGGATATTCTCTCTGCAAGAGGTGTTAGAAGGGGTGGAAAGAGTAAAGAAAGGACTGGAGGCTGAAGGGGAAGACTCAGATGAAGTCGTGTATTCAGAAAAGTGCCRTAGCCCTTGCAATGAGCTCAGATTGCTTACAAGGCATTTTGTGCAAACTGTTTACAAAGGCCCAAAGTTTAAATTATGGTSATGTCAGCAACCATTAATGTTTGCTGCACTAGAAGAATTTTATGCTTGTCAAAATTTACCTTCTGCTCTAATACACTCAAAAGAATTATAGGAATAAAAATAAAAGTAAGATGACTTGATTCTTTTTGTTCTATTACCCTGCTCTCCCCCACTCAAAAAAAAAAAAGAAAAAAAAAGAAAAAAAAAAAAGCATTAATGAGGTTTTGCATTGAAGTTCAGTTTCATAATTATGCCTTCACTGACAAATCAACATTTACTGTAGTAATTAGGCCTGGCTGTACCATCCAAAGTCTTATCTCCATGCTTTCTATGGAGTCTGACCTTTTTTCCTTAAAATTACTTCTAAGCATTCCCCAAATGCAGTCAGACACTGTAGAGAGTGACTGCATGGAAAAAAACAAAACAAAAAAMCCAAAGGTTTAGGTAACTCTCTCATCAGTTGTCCCATAGCCCACACAGTTTTATAAAAAAAGAAAGATGAGTAAACAAGCATTTAGGAACAAGTAGTATTTCCACTGTAATAAAAAAAGGTACATAATGGTCTCCCAACCCCCTTCCAGCATGAGGAATTGTTAATTATCTGTGCTGAATGGAATTAAGCAAAAACTGCAATTGTGATTTTGTTTTCTTCAGGCAGGATCACCCACCAGAGGATTTAATTGATATTTGAGCCTTACTGGGGAGAGGCTGTAGGGCTCACCCTGCAGCAGTGTTTTTGTTAGACCAACATAGTGGGGTCACTGTTGTTCAAGGCTTAATTTTATTCCACTCAAAACGGCTTGGGGCAGGGAACTTCAGGTCTGGTCTCACTGCAGTTTCCAAAAGGCACAACCCAATTTGCCATCTGGGGTTACTCCCAAAATGTGCAGCAGCACAGTTAGACTTGGAGACCCTTCATAGMGGAAATACTGAGATGCTTTTCAATACTGGTTCTCAGGTACCTGCCCTCTCCCACCTAATAGAAGCAGTATTTTACTTTAATTTACTTGTCCTCCTTTCATAGAGCTCAAAAATAAATCTTCATYGTAACTGGGTCTTCCCCAGGTAGCAAACAAGCCTCTTAAAAATAAACATTTGTAATTATCCTCAGCTGCCACTGGATGTCAGTGATTGCTGGACTTTAGCAGTGAATTTAGTTAAAAGAAAAAGGAAAAAGGACAGCATTTCAGATCTTCCTGAGCCAAAGAGGATCAGAACCAGGCAGTGCAAATGCAACCAAATKATGGGACAGCCAAGCTGGTGACCAGAGGGGCTGTTTCTTCTCAGAAAGCATTCTTGCCTTTGCACCCACACATGCTTGTAGGCACCCATCTATAAAAATGTATTTTAAGACAGATAAGAGACTRGTGAAAAAGAGGTGCTCTTTAAGCTGATAGACATGTTAGAGTTCAATGCTCTCTGTTTGATCTTCTTATTTTCAGGCTCATGAAAGCTTTTCAGAAGCTGTAGTCTTGAAACATTGGCAGACAGAAACAAAGAACCCACATTGGGTGGGGAGAAAGAAAAGTCCATTTGTTCATGCTGAGTGACCCTCTAGAGCAGAGGAAGGGGAGACAGGAGGCACAAGAGAGCAATACYGAGTCTTAGACAGACATCCCCAATTTTTGCAGGCGCAGACAGCAAAGGTACGTGGTAGCCTGTGTGCACTGGGTGCAGTCAGTGTTGGTGATTCCAGATGAAGTAGATCTGTTCCTATACATGAGCTGCTCACAGCAGCAACACTTTCCCCTCTACTGTGCTTTATGGGCATGCTGGATGCTTCCCCTATAGATTGCTAARTCTGTAACTGGGGGAAAATAAGATGTAAATGGAAACACTTGAAGACCAATCTGTTAACATGCTATAGCAGCATTCAAGAGTGGGTAGAAGACCTGTAGAAGCAAACTGCATGACAGGAAGGAGGGAAGAAAGGTTGACACRCTCAATTTGTTCTGTTTCCACAGTTAAAAGCTGCGGAATTTACACAAGGCATGAGTGATAAAGCAAAGAACTGCGTAAGGCAATTGCAGTGAGCAGCTTCCCTTTGGTGTGGGAGCTCTGAAGAGGCTGTCAGACAGTCCAGGGAGGATAAACTGCATGGAGCTCTGCATTTCTGGCACACTGTCTCTGAGGCATTTGTTGCCCCACAGGGAAGGTGCAGGCTGCAGCACTGGTCAGSACACTTTGCTGGGAGAAGGCTCCTGGGCTTCCCACCTGTCCCTTACAAGGAGTTTCCATGTCCAGGATCTGACCCTTCCCAGAGCTGTTTACTGTCTTGTGCTCCCATTCCCTTCTACCTTTCTGCACCTCTCTTTCACAGACCCCCTCTGCACCTTCCTCTCACCAGAAGTGCTCCATTTCAGCAGAAGGAACACAGTGACCCTCCCAGCAGGGTGASCATACAGTGCTCTCTCACAGGAGAGAATGCAACAGCATTGAAACCTGGTCCTCCAGCTCCCAGCAAAATGCTCTAACCACTGGGCTAGGTGGAAGTATCGGGGGCATAGCGCTGGATATGTTTTAAGGAAAGAACTATCCATGGTTGTATTTTGTGCTGAACATTATTTTGCATGTATAAGAGCAAACTGGATCCTCGGGGGACTTTGAAAAACAAGCAACTCAAGCCCAGGGTCCCAAATGGTTTTAGGTATAAATTAGGATTGACCTAATTTGTTTATTTGGGGTACTGARAAAACAAGTGGGGGCTGAACAGAAGACCTAGGCACCATGATAGTCTCCCAATAAGGAACCATTTTCAAGATAATCTGTTTTAGATTTAGCTCTTTAAATCTTCCTTGGCTTTAGATTTTAACATAATAAAGAATCCATCATGGTTTTTGGTAAGTTTTTGTTAAAAAATATCCAGACATTTAAAAGAAAAGGCTACCTTAAATAGCCCTTCAGCAAGTATCAGTAGATTTYGTGGTGACTGGGTAAAAGAAGAAAATGGTTTCATAGCAGCAGCATAGAAGATACCACTGATACCAGACTGCTCTCAGCCTGGCTTYATAATTTAGGGCATTTGAGTAGACCTAGGAGATAAATTATAAATCTACAAGGATCTAGTCASAGTATTTCACTGTCCTTCACAGAAGCTGAAGGCTGTGCACACCAAGGATCATGACTAGTAGGGCACAACAGTAGGTACCAGATGGCAGCTGTCAGTGAGAAGGTGATGGAGGGGTCCTGTGACAAGTGCCAAGCTTGGTGAAGTCGCTCCCATCCTATCTCAGCTGCATCTGGGGAYTTCAACATAAACAGGTGCAGATGTTTCGCAGTTGTTCCCATGCTTGAGACAAGGTTGAGTGTGCTGCATCTGGGACTGCAGGTGAAGCAGAGTGGCTGATGAAACTCCAAACCCTCGCAGTTCCCCTCTGAGCAGCTGCTTTACTATCCAGTGTTGGTCTTGCACTGTAGCACAGTTTCCATCTGCATCCTATAGCACAGTGGAACAGCCACGAAGAGCTGAGCCTGCTGCCCTCCATCCTGCCAGTGCTGCAGCCTGTCCATGACTCGGCTGCAGTGTGCATTCCCTGTGGAAGTGGTGATGTGCAGGGACATTGCTGCAGGATCAGCGAGCCCGGTACCAGGGCAGAGTGGGGGTTTCTTCTTGGCTCCATTGCTACCCCATTGGAAAGCCAGCTCGGGCAGCACTGCCTGGCACTGCTGTCACTTGAGGGAGGGAGGTCAGTCCCAGGACAGCCMTTATGCTTCTGCTCTACCTAAAGAGAACATGTTATTTCTGTTAATTGTAGCTCATKCTGAAAAGACCCCTAAAAGACCATTAGAGAAGAAGCCACTGGGGATACCTGATTTGGGGTAAGTAAATATTTCATAACTTACTAGGAAAATGGGAAGAGAGGGTAAAAGTCCTTTGCTAAGTCTTGTTCCTGAAAATAAAGACTTCTTTCACTCTATTGTTAATGTATGTATTGAGACAGTTGTGTTTCTAGAGTCCGGTTTTCCCAGCCCACAGTGGGTCAGTACCCTCCCTTCACCCACTCTCCCTTGCTACCACATCTTTGATGCTGTCGTTGGTAAGTGCTTTCATTAAATAAGAAACTGTTTGGATTATTTGCCATGATCATGTGCTCAAAATTGCTTGTTTAAGAACTAAAAATGCTTCCTTGTCCTAGCTGTCATCATCTTGCTTGTGAATCATTTAGCCTGATTGTCGTGGGATGTGAATGAATGTTAGGCTTGATTCAGTGCAGGCTCTGCAGAGCTTTGTAGCCATGAGAAAACACTCCTGCACTGATGGCCAGCCCTCTCTCACACCAGGTACTGCAAACAYGGCAAAATCAGTGGGGACACGTAGATTTCCAGCCTGTCACACGSAGGGTGCGACTGTTTTGCCTTGAAAAGATAGCTGTAACAAATGAAGTAGTTTTTCTTCACGAGCATATGCTTTCTGCCTTATTTTTTTGTGAGCAGTATTTTATATTTTCACATATATCCAGAGGCACATTTTAAAAGTCCCTTGGAAAAATGACACACATACTTTATTTCACATTCAGTGATTTTATGTCACGCTACACAGAAACTTTGGTACTTTATAGCAACCGTATTTCTCTGGATGCATTTACCATTGCTATTAGCAGTCTCGGGAAAGAAGAGTGAAGAAAGCTGGCAGGTGTAAGGCTAAGAGAGACACATTTCAGAAGGTCTTTTTCGGACTACCAGGCAACATTGTTATATAAATCCTAATCTTCAAGCTAAAAGAGTCAGCATGAAAAAATTTCTCTCCAACATCTCCCAAATAGCCCATTGTGATAATTAGTCTTTATCCTTATGGTTGGGGAGCTCTGACAAAGGGCAGCAGATTAATTTTAGATCTGTCTACTCTGTCCTATCCAACAGCTCATAAAAAGTAAAGTTTCCTTTGAAAGCTCTTGCACTCCTTAGCTCTTGGGCAGCTTTAGGAGGCAATATAACAAAACCAGCTAGGAGCACCTGTACTATTTCAGCAGTGCTCAAGCCAGGTTTTTGGATAAGCTGTTTAACTCACAACAAGAAACATGCCCTACACCAAGCCGGAACCCCTAGGCTTAGCTTGATTCTCCATATAAACTCAGACCCACACAGCCACCTGGCATCTTCCAGCCCAGTGGCAGTGCAGGTTTCCTGCTGCAGCCCAGCCTAGCAGCAGTGCCAGAGGGAGCTGGAGCAGGGAGGCTGTGATGATCACACAGCAGCTGATTTATTATCTGCTGGGCACACATGGACGGCTTCCACTGTGAATAATAGACACTGCTGGCACAATGAGGGAAGATAGACTCCCAAAACCACTGCTGACATTTGCTTGCCTACTGATCCCTGTATCCCATGTGCCTCTGTGGGTCTCCACCATTCCTGTTTTAACACTTTACAGTCATTATGGGCTTGATTCTCCACTGCTTCTCACCATGGGCAGTCATTTGCACCTGTGTAAAGTGAATGCAAAGTGAGTTTACATCTACTTTGTACAGGTTGCAATGATTACACATCCCTGAATGTGTAATCCACTCTCTGTTGAATCTGCTCTGGCCAGAAGTAGCATTTTTGCTAACCATAAAGGATCTRTAGAGGGCAGGTGATATGGTTACTCAGCAGGGCACAATAATGGATATGCCATTATTCATATATGAACTTTGCATCCAAGTATTCAGCAGATTTATTTATAACATTGTCTTTCTTTAGCATTAACAGAARCAAGGCAGGAACCTGTCCTTTTCCAAAATTAGGTGATGTGTCCTTTTGTTTTAGCACGAGCTCACCACATCTTAGAGAACACAACCATTCTCAGAGGCACAAAGGCAAGATGTAAGCTTGTATTTTATTTTTTTAAAGCAACTCAAACTTGGTATTTTGTTACAGGGGAAGAGAGCTGAAGCTGGAAATAAGAATTTCAGTGGCTTCAAAGAATTTCTAGATAACACAGTTACTGTTAGCACACAGATGCACATCACCTCATTTTGGAAAAGGACAAGTTCCTGCCTTGCCCCTGTTAGTGCTAAAGAAATTTGGGGTTGACTGSTCTTTTCAATGGGAAAATAAGTGAGTGGTAGTTCTGTCAGCTCCAGATCATTTTATAAMAGAGACTGGTTATTTTGAGAGTTTGACATTGAGCTATGCAGCTGAAGAGGGTTTTTTAAGACAACATTATAAATAAGTCTGCTGAATACTTGCATGCAAAGTTCTTACATGAACTTTGATGATACTCTAAAAATGTTTAAGGAAAAATTAGGACTATTGTCTTTTAACCTGAGTGGTTGTAACTCACAGTCCTGCAGGTGAGATCTGTTCGGAAGAGAAATTGCTTGCTAAATAATATGTGAATTAGGCTAGCCTCTATCCATGGTGATCATTCAAAGTTTTTTCTCCTCAACACAATCATATTTGAGGCAGTTATACTTAAATAACAAATTATTGCATAGCTATGCAATGCCCTTTTGTCAGAGTATTTTCATTATTATTCCACAGTTATTCTATTCTCATCCAATCAGTCTTGAAAATATACAAATAAAACTTTAAAGCCAAAGTGTACTGCAGCAATACAATAAATCAACTCAGAGGCCTGAAACATTTGCTGCAAACAGGACACTTTCAAATCCTATATGTTGCTGTAACAATACTGTCTCTGAACTCGAAGTTTAGTATCTCTTAATGTCTGTTTCCTTTGTGAAAGGCATTTTAAAGTCCAGAAAACAAACTGTGAATGGTCACAAGAACCTTTATAACTCCAGAAATACTAAATTGTATTCTGGTGACCATTGCAATTGTTTTCTGCCACAAGCTCACCCAAATTAGCTGATGTTGGGCAGTATCTGCAAGCTTAGAAGTAAACTTCTTGTGAAGAACCAATCGTCCCTGATCCTGCACATCCAGGAGGAGTGGCTGTTTCAGTCACTCTCATTTGGACAGCAGAAACCCTTCCTTCACAGCCCATCTGTCCAAAGCAAACTGCTCTCTCATTAGGAAATACTCCATTTCTTTGGAGTTTTATTGCAGCCCGATAGACATGATCTTGTCTCAGACATTTGTAAGCCCCCTAGGTAGAGACCGTGGGAGTGTGTTCAAGGTAAAACCCCTCACCCTGTGGCAGTGGGGAAGAAGCCACATTCAGTGGCCACTGAGAGATTCGTTCTGCCACCGTGTTACAGATCTTTCTACTGAGGTGCACAGCTGACAAACAACAGACACAGAATATAAAACCAGGCTGCAGTGATCCTTGCAGCCTTGGACAGGTTGTGGGGCTGCCCTCCTTCCTTTGAGCTACCAGAGATACTCAAGGTGAYGCCAGAACTCACTCTCACCTTCCTGAAATTCCCAAGTGCCCAGAATATCTCCTGTACTTGGCTTCAGTTAAGCAATGGAGTGGCTGCTCTGTGGCCACCTTTCTGTATTTTGGTCCTTTGCTGCTTTGGCACAAAAGAGGGAGGACAACTCTAGAAGTCTCAGCAGCAGAGGTTTGTAGGCCATCCTCAGCACTAAACAGCAAGCTCCCCACATTTCTCTCCACTCTTCTTTCCCTGCTCATGTTCATCTGTGTATTTGCTACATCTGTTTACTTTGTCATGCTTTCTGGCACTTATTCTCCTTTTTCCTCTTATTTGCTTGTCATCAGAAATGTCTAGCACACAAAGAAATGTCTAGCACACAAGGGGGAAGAGATTCCTGTTTCCCATATACCAATACTTGAACAGCTAAAAACCCTTTGAGATCCTGGTGTCAAAACCAGTTTCAGCTTCTGGGAAGTGATTTCTTTGTCTGAAAAGCTCCCATGCCAGGCTGCTTATAACAGTGCCATTCCCTGCTCTGTGCAAAACAGTTGTCTGCATGTCATTTTACTCACCTATGATCCCTATTTTAAAAGAATTTTTACAGGCAGGGTTTGTAAGACATGGTTTCCTGGCACTTACTCAGCTATTAGGCATAATGAAATCCAAACTGTTTATTAGCTCATCCACTATCTTGATTATCCAGAAATATAGCTCAAATTCCAGATGACTAATTTTCAAACCCAACTTTCCCAACTGTTGGAYAAATGCACGTTTCTCTGTCACTGTATCCATTCGAGCCCAATTAGTTGGCTCACTTTTGGGCAGTCTACCCCTTGCTGTTTTTAGCATGTCTGCTCTATTAATGGTTATCCTTGAGGCAGTGTCCACTTTTTCCATGCATTTCTCAGATACCAGCAGATGATTTGTAACCAGCCTCCTCCTGTTCCTCAACTATGAGGATCCAAACAACAACCTGGGGCCTCATTTGTGTACTKCTAGGATCCAGCGACATAAGGTGGTGTCCTTGCAATCCTCAGACTGGGAAAGAGGCTTCTTACTGGGCTCTTGTGATGTTTTGTTCTGGCCCAGATTCCTATTATAACAAGTTAACATTTTATAACAAACTTCTTTTACTGTACCAGCACTTAACTGCTTTATTTAGTTTTTACATTATTGCCAACTTCTCTTGTTTTACAAACCAAATCTATCACTGCTTTTAATTGTTCCAAAATGCCACAAACCAGACTAGAGTCACCTTTTCCATTTGACATGTCTGTGCTTATAGGGTTTGTGGCAATTAACGTCCATCTTGCTAGCAGCTGCTTCCTTTCCCGATTGCCTGCTGCAGAGAAAAACTCAAATGATGGGGCAAAGTCCCCAAGCCCTTGGGGTGTCTGATTTCCTTTCACTGATCTGGCTCTGCAAGCTGAAGTCCAGCTAAATGTGTATAAGTTGTTCCACTGCCCATTTGTCCTGGGAGTCCTTGTTTGCACCAGATAATGCCAAGAACGGGTCTTGGCTGGTCCTCAGCCAGGCCAGAGGATTCAGCTTTCCCTTGCTGCTACTTTTCTGATCTGGCTCTTTCTGCCTGATGGCTGCCTGTGCACCACATCTCAACAGCTCCTGCAAACTTGGAGCACTCGGTTGTCTGTCGTGGGTTGCTCTGTAGTGCAGACAGAGCTGGCGTGCACAGGCTGCCTGCTGGAAACCCCTCCTGTTCCTCCTCCTGGCCACTCACTTGGGTGAGACGYTGAGCAGAGCCAAGAAGCCTGTCAAGGAGTTTTCTCTCAAAGAAATCAAGTTTTGCATTATTTGAACTGGACAATCTCTCCTCTCCCTGATTGGCCTCTGAGGGTTACAAATGAAGTAGAAAATAGTTTTACTGCGGCCATTTGGCTAACCCACTCGTGCAGCCAGGTGGCTGACTGAGGTCTGCTCTGACCTCTGCCCTTTTCATTGCTTTCTCAACACACTTTCTGAGATCTGTCATTCCTCGCTGCTGCTCRTGTCTGTTAGCAGGTTTTGGGTTGTCAGGACACCTTTGAGTCTCCTGGCTCCATGGAAATCCTCCTCATTCACAGCAGACAGGTSTCTGCTTCCAACTGTGGGGCGTCCCAGTCTGGCTAGACACTGTGTGCAGCAATTGCAGGTGTTCCCTCAAAAGTAGTTCCATCTCCACCTACAAGTTATCTCTCCGCCRTTACCAAGAGACTTCTTGATGATTCTTCCATCTTTGTTTCATGCTTTTTCMTTTATTGATGCCTCATGCTGCTGGCTCTAGGCCAAGGGAGACCTTTTTTTCTGGGGGAGCTGAATGAGTTCAGATGTGCTTAGGCTTGTCCCAGTCCTTCTCCAACACCACGCTGGAAATACAGAAATACGGATAACATTGACAGACACATTGACAGCAGAGATGGAGGTGACRATAGAGTCAGGCTTCTTTTATTATGGTCCTCTGTCTATAAGCAATGTGCAGTGACCTCAGGCACAGGAGGAATTAGGAACTGGTTTTTTCAGGTTACAATTGCCTTTTAATGAGCTTAGCCAAAATCTTCTCCTCCCCTTCCCTGCCTCTGTTCTTGGAGCCATAATCCTGATGTTTGTTTAGGCCAAGTCCTTGGCCTCTCTGATCTGCCCTGCCTTCTTTCCATAAACACACAAACCCAATAACCAGTGAGGTATTAGATACCTGTAAGCAGAGGTAATTTCTTTATATCATTCTTGTAGGAATGCATGTGTCTGTGTCTGCTTCACTTTTTCAGGTTACACAAAGCACCTTGAAGGCTTTTGCCTCTTGTATTTATCCCAAAGTCATAGTGGCTCTTATAGGCATCCTTGGCTCCTCTGAGGACAATCTCAGTGCTCATCTGACTGCACAATTGGCATCTCACTTTAAAGAAAAGGCATGGTTGTGTTTTTGTAGGTTACAGCCACTGAGATCAGTGTTGCTAATTTGCTTTAGCACTAATTAAAAAGGCACAGGATTAGTACAGAGTCAGGTATCTTCATGGTGGCCTTAGTCTAGGRGTGGTCAGTTTGATGTCTGCAGACAAATTGCTGCCCTAGCTCAGAACTGTCTCAGGACCATAAATAAAGTCACAGTGATGTGTAAGTTTTAGAGAAGGAGCATCTCTGTCTGTCTGAGATGGATTACCACATCAGCATCCAAAAGGCAGCTCCGAGGCTTCTTGTGCCTGCTGTGGTCAGCAAATGGAGTCTTCAGCCTCAAGAAGAGTCTATCAAGGACTTCTGCCAATGATAAATCCARTCATTAGGTAAAAGGCACTCACTGGAGACCTGTTCGAGTTTGATGTGAAGTAGCATGGGTGGGGAAGAGAGGTAGAGAACCAAAGATTGGCTGGATCAAAGCTCTGGCTTTGTAATTCAAATGGAATGAGCTCAAGTCCTTTGAAAGTTGTCCATTTGAAAACATTTYGGTTAACTTTTTTTCCTCACATCAATTTGCTTATAGATTAATTTTCATAAGCTTTCCATAGGGGGAAAATTGATAATGTGACCCAAAATATTTCTTTTCCAAAAATGTCCAAGTTACAGTGGAAAAAAACAGTTCAGCCATATAAAGATGTGATAGTTATAAAAGCAATGTGAGGGACTTGCATARCTCTCCACCTGCAGCAGCTAATTAAGAAGCAGAGGCTGAAGCCAGGTCTTTTCCCTTGCTCAGAAAGGACTGCTTCCTGTCCTCTGGCACAGCAAGAATTGGGGTTTGCTTCTGTGATCATTCACTGYCTCCAGCAGACAGTCAGCATGGGGGAGACTTAAAAGCCCTTTGCCAACAATGATTCTACTTTCCTGGAGGCAGGAAAATAATTGCAGAATTAAGTACTAATTCTGTTTTTCTCATAGGGTTGCTGCTAGGTAAGTGATCAAAGCAGCAAGTCCTGAGAAGGGTTAGATATTTATACAAACAAATAAATTGTGTTAAGAATCCACACCAGTGCTTCTGCATTAGGTCTTTTATTGGAGGGACAAAGACAGTGGAGGTTGTCCCTGGCCACAGCTCTCTTGTGGTTCAGTTCTTCCATCACATCTGTTCTCTCCAGGGTATCACAGAATCATAGAACAGTTTGGGTTGGAAAGGTCATTAAAGTTCATCCAGCTCTGAGCCCCCTGCCATAGGCAGGGAACCTTCCACTAGACCAGGATATTCAGAGCRCCATCCAATCTGGCCTTGACATCCACATCTTCCCTGGGCAACCTGTTCAGTGCCTCACCAGCCTCACAGTAAAGAATTTCTTCTTAATATGTAATCTAAACTTACCCTCTTTAACTTTCCACTTACTGTACCTCTGTAGGCACATACTAGTGCGTTGCATTTGTTCCTCACRTCTTTAAGGTCAGAACTAAAACAGAGTTACATGTCTTTCCCCTCCTCTCTCTGTGCAACATACTTCAAGCTGTAAACTAAAGAAAGTCTCTAGGTACAGCCACTGAATATGGAGAATGCTGCATCCCAACTAATTTCTCAGCCAGGGTGACCTGGAATGGCTGAAATGAAAACACTTTATAGCTCTGAACAACAACATTTTGAGGAAGGTTTGCTAATCCCAGCAGGATGGGTGTCTGCCCCTTTTCACCCTGCCCTGGGTGTTGAGATCCCTTGCTTCTGTAGCATCTCTCTCCATCCTTTTCTGGTGATTTTGGTGAGATCTCTATCATGTCAGTGGAGTTTAGCTGCCTGGTTCACAAGGAAAGCTGCATGTTGACTCACTTGAAGTCTGGAACTGAATCACATCTGCTGCTCTCAGAAGGAGATGCTCATCCATCTYTGGGCTTCCTCATGGACTCAGAAGCCATTCCCAGGAGTGCTGTGAAAGCTAGACTGTTATCTGCAGTTTGCAATCAGCCTGTCTTCATAGCTTGGGTCTGGGGTATTTGTAGTCCCAGCTCCTTCTGGGCAGGCTCCTAGGAGTATCCTGATGGAACGTGTTTGTTTGGGGATCCAAGCACTCAGTAAATGCCTTATGAAACTGGTTTGATGTGTTCCTGTGGGTAAGTAACATGGGAAGGCATCCGACCTGGGCTGATTGTTCTATGCAGGCTGCGCTACACAGCGGACGAGTGCAACTAAACCAAAACCTGAGCCCATTCCCTGCCTGGGCCAAGCCATTCATTTGAGCCTGGCCTTCTACCTCCTGACTGCCCATCCCCTGCAGACCTTAAAAGTTAGCACTCACTGCTACCTCTGCCCTCATCCCAATGACCCTTCAGCAACCCTTTAGACACAGCCTCAAGAGAAAGATGCGACACAGTCAGCCGAGATCTTTGGGTGAACCCGAGTAATGACCCAAGGACACAGCCTCAGCAGCAACATCTGCCTGGCAGCAGGAGAAAGCACAGAGACAGCTTCTTCCTTCCCGTCTTGGGGYTGAGCCTCAAGTTCATGACATGCCYCTGAACTTAGACAGAGAACATATTTCTTGAAAGCTCCARCTGAGCTGTGCAAGGAAGAGCTGCCCTCGCTGGTTACTGTGGTTCCAGYGTGCAGCATTAGTGTAGGTTTGCTCTTCACTGTCTGTCCCAGTGCCTCCCASTGCCTTGCACAAAACCAGGCATGACCTCTGCCCAAAGGAATTCCACCAGGCAGCGAGATGTCTAGCTGCTAGAAAATCACCTGCAATTATTCACACCCTCAAAATTGCAGGAGCAAAATGAGAGCCTGCTTTTCAAAATCAGGTCCATTATGTGTCTGCAAAGTATATAATCTCCACATAATTCATCAACACCATTAATCTAAACTCCTAGGTACTGAGCTCAATAGAGCATGTGTTTTCCATGTGTGTGTAATATCAAACAAACCTGTGTTTAACTTGTCAGAATATAATCAACTTCCATTAATTACTTCAGTATGAAGTCTCTGGTACCAATGGTTCTTCATATAATCACTCAAAAAGCTTTTATTGGGGAGCTAAACAGCTCAATAACACTAATTAATTGTGTTTYTTGGACAACTGAGATTGTATAAGTGGAAAGGTGGTTTTGGTACATTTCCCACTACATTGATTTTCACATTTCTGGAACGTATTTCCCCATAATAGTCATTAGAGCACAGAGAGAAGAGTTGGAAAGGTGCGGTAGAAGCACGGCATTCCTAAAATATGATTTGAGATTTGTACTGGATCTGCACTGTTTGCCAGAAATTCAAACTCTGGCAAATAACTTAGCCTTTCTAGGCTGTTTGCCCAATAGGCTGAGTAAAAAAAGCAGCAAACCTAAAAATCTGCCAATATTTATGTACCAGCGTGTGATTCAATTGTTTTATTGCAGAGTAAAAGTGACACAAGAAAAAGAGGAGGAGGACGGAAACTCTACAAGTCCAGAGGAAAAATATGAAGCATTTGAATGTTAGTGTTAAAGAATTTTGAGACTTTAATTAAACCACCCCAAAATTCACAAGTTCAACAAAACCAAAAAAAAAAAAGAGAAAAAGCACAATTGCTCTCCAGGGGTTTTCAGAGTTTTACTTCTACACATATTTTTCTAATTCCATGTAGAGGAACAAAGAATGTGTTTTTCCCACCTGAAAGTGTTGTTTGGTGATTCATGAAGCTTTCTCCCTTGTCTGAAGCAGAGGTTTCTCGGTTACGTACCCCGGGGCTGTGCTGCTGCGGAGCGGAAGAGAACTGCCTGGGAGGGGGATTGCCAGTGGGGAGGGTGTGAGGCCAGGGGAGCATTTCAGATCAGCAGGATATTGCTTGGTGTCGTGTGTGTATGCATTCATATATAAGGAGCAAATGAATTGTTGCTCTCAATGGCACGGAAAAGTAAATAAAAAGCCTCTCTCAGCAGGACTGTGAATTCTGGCTGTGGGTTTAGATTTGTGTTTCAAGGCTCCTTTCACTATCGGGTTTTATGTTTTCAGGCCCTCTCTGCAGCTCCAGTGTTATCTCAAAAGCACCATCTTTTTGTCTACACAAATAGCAGCACTCAAAATGCAAATCTACTTATCCAGCAGTTCCAGTATCTAATTCACAGCTTTTTGCCTTATAAGTGTTGGCTCCCCCCAGCATGATAAAATACAGATTCCACTCTATGGAAATGGGTGGCACAGCCAGTGCCTATGTAAATCAAGATCAAGATGTGCTTAAACCCTGTGAGATTATTCTTATTTAAGATTATTATTATTCTAATTCAGTAGCTGCTTCTTCTTTAGTAGTAAACATTGTCAAAAAGAAGCCATGACTTAGTCTTGTACCCTATTGAGCCAGGTCCTGTAAAAGTCAACTCATCCCTGAAAAAATTCATCTCCTGGGTGGCAAGGATGTATTGGGAGATGCAAAGAGGGAAGGAGAAAAGTTGCAGACAAAGGTATTGTGTCTATAACTTCACATTTTCCCTTGGTCTAATGGRCATAACCTGTAATTCCAACCTGTAATTAACTGAGGAATGAAGTTTGCATTTTAATTCAGTTCAAAGAAAATAATTAAATCATTAATGATAATGTTTCTTTGGAACTGGAACATCCMCTGCTGTGTTGCTTTTGCTGGTAATTTGAAAAGTATCTGGTCTGGCAATTCCAATAAATAGAGAAAAATACTGTCTTCACATACAATCAGACTGTAATTTTTGAAAAGACATGATCTAATTCTTAATGTTTCACATTCTTTTATTCAGACTATGGAGTTAATACTATATTCTCCAGGCAGACCTCTCAAAAGCCRTTTGATAAAAAGTTGGTGGCAAGAGACGGACAACAGTATCAGTATTATGCGTTGCTCCTGCAAGGATCTCATGAGACGTTTCTGCCATTTCCTTAAGTAAGTATGTTTTMACAAGTCAGTTTTTGCAACTCTTGTTAAAGGAGCTGAATCTTAATACAAGAAAATAGATGTTGGTCTAAATAAAGAACTAGCCTTGTGGTCTCTCTGAAATGTTGGCAAGTGACAATCAGGGTCTTTTTAATCCCTGGCACCAGGTGAAGGTAGAGGGAGGAATTCATGTTCTGTCACCAACAGGTAATTTATTATGTTGGTCAGATCTTTCAGATTTAGGATATTTGACTGGTTTCCAACCTCCAGTGATCAGCAGTTTGGTTTAATAACCAGCTCCCATTAGCAGTATCTCTGATATTCTTCTTTCCTACCTTAAGAGCCAAAATCTATTTCTATTATTCTGTACTTGGATCCATTTCAGGTTTCATCATCCCCCTGAACATTTCTGTCCATATATGTGAGTTCTTTGCATCCAGAATAGCTTATTCGGCACAGACRAACAGCAGGACTGTCAGTCTTTTTAGTGAACACCTTGTGAATCATGTAGCTGGCAAAGAAAGGAGATTGAATTTGCTGTGTTCACTGGATTTGATACAATGGTAATAAAATGCTTGTCTCTTTTGTATCAAAAGTGGCTGTGTATCTCTTTGGCTAATGGAATTGCTGCTGCTTGCAAAAAAACCCCACCTTATCATAATGAATGTATTCAAGACTCTTAAATTCTGATTTACTTTTCCCCTTTCTACTTCTGGCTCAGTCTCCATCTTTGCATATAGCTTGACTTTGCTTTGCCTCCTACTCCTACCTCCCCAGTTCCCTGTCCCCTAGTTTCCTCCTGAAGTGAGCTGCTCATGCCTAGGAACGTGTTCAAAGTGTCCCTTTGAGTCAATATACTGAATCCTTACATTCCAAGCAGTCTTCCTTCTGAATGATCCGTCTTGTCACATAAAGAACATTCCTGATGTTTTTTCACACATCCTGCCAGCCTGTGCGCTCTCATCCAGCAGCTCTGGGGATTCTCCGGCAGCAATTTCCTTGGCTTTGTGGTGCAGAGTGTGAATCCCTGCTCGGACTACAGGCATTTGTTTTCCTGTTCGTTAGCGGCAGWGACCGCAAACCAGCCTGTCCAAAAGGGTGTCGGTTAACATGTTCAGCAACCCCTTTTGAAGCTTGAGGCAAACTGTGAAATAATTTCTTCCCCTGTTGGCATCTTTTGTGAAACTAGGWTTTCTCAGCATTCACCAGATGCTCTGGAGCAAGTGTTATTTGAAGTAGCTTATAGGATCTGTTCCCGTATTTTTCTTTGTGGTCTGTCTGCCKGTGTCAGGCTCCAAAAAACAGTGAAAACATTCAGTCTCCCATGACATTGAGTAGAGAGAATATRGGCTAATCCTGCAACACAGCCTTCAGAGAGCTCTGTGCAGGAACTCCAGGTTCTGCTCAAAACAAACATACCTTCTGTAGGGTTTCTGCCCAAGTATTTTCTGTGGAGGCCAAAAGCACTTACAGATCCTTCAGGAGCTGTTCCATTGCACCTAGCTGGAAATTTCCTTGCTTTCTTCTTCTGGCAATTTGAACTTACATGTTAAATGTACGTACCTTGCATGTTTTTCAAGTCTGTTGTCTTCCATCTGGGAGCCACCTTTGTCCCTTATGTTCGACTCGGAAAGGCTGTGAAAGTTAAACAGCCTCCAGTGGATGGCTGCCCGGTCTCCTCTGCTGGCTGGCTGGCTGGTGGGATCAGAACTTGCTGTCCTTCCCCTCCACTCTTATGCCTGGAATGTAAACACACCTCACAAAAACAGAGGAATAAACCAGCTGCTATTCACTCTTTTAACCATCTATTGAGCAACWGACCATGCCATGTTTATAAGGCAGACTGCTGAAATGGAAAATCAGAGTGGAGAGGTGACCTCAAGAGGCCATCCTGTCTCAAAGTAGGATAATTTACACCTATTTAATTCCTGATGAATATGTCTCTAACTAGCTCTTTTAAAAAGGCTTCATTGATGGAAAGTCTGCTACCTACACAGGATGTGTATTCCAATGCTTCCCTATCCGACCTTCCTTCTTCTGTCAGCATGTCCTACCCAGGAACTCACCTACCATCTCCTTTACAGCAATTAAAACTCGTTATTACTCAAGGCTACTACTGTACAAAGAAGACATTATTCTCCGTGTCTCTGTTGACCACGTGTACCTGAAGTTCATTATCTTTTCTACACTTAATAACCCCAGACAAATCAGATTTCCCTCGCAGAACATGTTTACTCCAAATATGATAACTGGGTGCCTCCAGCTGGTCCTTATCTCTTGTAAGTGCAGCCCCAACAGAGTTCAACAGAGCAGAAGACATTCACTTACATGTCATATAATCCAACACCTACATATGCAGTTCAGCGTGTCATTTATTTTTTCACAATAACAGAATAGTTTTGGATCATTTTCACCTTGTGATCAGCCTTTATCTCCTACAGAACTCCTGCCATGGCTTTAAGGAAACCAGGACACTACCTCACCGTGTTCTGTGTAGTTCATCACTTTTGTTCACTGGTCCTTGCAAAACAGCTGATGAATTCTGTTGTTTTTCTTCAATGTGTGGAGACAATTTAGAATTCTAATCCTGGCATCTGATATACTCGAAGGAGCATCAAGTTGACAACAAAAAATGTATCAGGATACTGCATTTCAAGAGTTCCGCTTTTTATTCTGCTTGAGACCACCATGAAGAGCGGTGGAGGCAGGGGGAGCACGCCCCAGCAGCAGCAGCCAGGCGCCTTTTCTGGGCTATATGCCCCCTAGGAACTGGCTGTATAAAGCTAATAGCACATACTGTACAGCTGGGGAGCCTTTCCTTTATTCCTTTGGACAAGCTATTGATGAAAATATTGAACACAAACTGCCAAGAACAAACCCCAATGGAAGTCTTCGATGGATACTTTCACTTTGACAAGGAGTCTCTAATAACTTTCCTGGGTTTTCCACTTGTTTTATACACTCTCAATGGTAATTTCAGTTCCATGATATTTCCTCTGCTTATTTATAAGAATGTCATACAAGAGRTTGCCAAAAGCCTAACTAGAGTCCCAGTAGCTGTCTGACCTACTGTGTATCTTCCATACACATGGTTTGCTCTACGGTCACAGAAGGAAATCAAATTGATTTTCGTAATATGTTTATAAGAAGTTCATGCTGACTGTTACTTTCAGTACCTTCCTGCCTTGTGCACAGCTTGACTGGCTGCTCCTGCAGATCCCTGAGATGTCAGCCAGCTGTCTGGACTTCCACAATTTGTCCCTTAAGTGGCTGGGATAAGTGTTTTGGCAGATCACTTGACAACCTTGTACAGTGCAAATAGCCAGATATGGGGCTGCCCTATGGGATCAAGAGCAGCTGTGTCTCTTCCTGCCCTGATATTGTGAAGAAGGTGTGGCCAGGATCAAGGCACAGGTAAGTATCAAGTGCTTGTTTTGGTGATTTCCTGGTTGATCTGCAGGGCCTGGAGAAGAGGGTAAAAGACACATGAAGGTGACTTGGCTGCATCTTAGAACACTTTGCCCTCTTGTTTGGGTTTGTGCAGCAGTGCCTCAGGCTAGAGCAGTGATGAATCAACAGCACCCCRGGGCTCTGCGTGTCTCTGACCTACTCTTTCTCTGAAGTTTACTTCCTACCAGAGCAACAGGAGCTATCAGAACAAACTACTGAAAGCAATACATTGGAGACGTTGCCAGGATTCTCAGTAAAAGGTGAAAAATTAGGTTCTAGTACCTTTTCACACTCAAGTGGAAACCAGTATCAAAAAACTCCATTGGTTTTGATGAAAGCAGAGTTCAGCCCGGGGTCTGTGACATTTAARACTTCACAGATGAAAAAGTAATGACTCCTCCTGGTTCTACATGGGACAGATTTTCTTTTCATTCTCACAGAACAAGCTAAAAAATGACACTTGGCCTTAGGTTTCGATGCTACTATTTTGTTGCTGTTGAGGGAATGCAGCAAGAAGCAGCTCAGTATTAGTTTACATAATAATGTTTCCACATGCCTGTATTTAATTTCAAGTTGTAAATCCGGGTACCACCAAACCCTGCTCTCATGCTGGTACAGGTCCTTGTGAAACAGATACAGGCAATATTTCATTTTATAAATTGTGTATAGAGTTCCCATCCCAGCTGCCCATTGGGAAATCTCAAAAAGATTGCAATTTTCTTGCATTTTTATTCCTGAAGCATCTGATTGATGCTTCTTAGAAGATGCTTGATATTGACTACAGCAAAGTTTATATTATTGTTTTCATAGAAAACACTTGTTGCAAGTAGCCCTGTTTGAGATAGCAGTAAGAGAGATGTGGTTTTCCAGGAACTCAGACCATAAAGAAAAGGCTTTTAAATAAAAGAGTGAAAGAGGGTGGATAAATRTAACTTGTAACTGTATAACACTTCACATACTTTAAAGTGACAAAAGCACCAGACTTTCCACCCGAGCCTCTTCCAATTTGGCACTGGGCATGGCCTGATGGGGTTACACCAGTCTGGGCAGGCTGCTCTCGAGAAGACCTTTYTGCTGCCCACCTACAGACACCCTGCTCAGCAGACATCAGCTTCAGGACTGTAGTTAAGGATTTAAAAGACTGGAAATTACTAAGATTTTCTTTTTTCTRTATCTTGAAGCATGGTGAGACACTYCTGGCTGTTTKCTGGGTTTTTTTCCTCACCTTTTTTTTTTGCATGTGGTTTCACTGCCAGTAAAAGGTTGGTGCAAAACTTGGAGCACTCTGAGTTTTCTGGTTACCATTATCCTGCTCACTGAGAAAGACGTTTATTATTGCTGTTGCAGTCTTGTTTTAAGTGATGGAGATRCCTCCTTCAGCCTGATCCCCTTGCTTTCTCTTGCTTGCTCTATTATTTGTAATCAACATGCATGAACGAACACCACATAGAATATTTCATTACTGTATTGGGTGTCTGCTCTCCAAGGCTGAGAAATACCAGCAAATGCTACGCTCGCTATCTTCATTTTCCATCTGAATGCAAATTCCTTTCAATATC